AGAGAAAACAGAAAGATCATTTTTAATGTACCCAAAGATAATCAACGATCATGCAGATTTTTTCATGTGCATTTGCAAATTATATTTTGCCTCTAAGATTGCCGCCAATGATTCCTCCTGCCTCTGTTCATTTCCTTGTGTAATCCCCTCCCCCTGAGTGTGGGCTGGTAAAGTTTACGGGATGTCAACTCAGAGGTCAGATGACCAAGTTTGCGGCTTCTGGCCTGGGTGTTCTCTTTCAGTCTTGCTTGCTTGCTCCCTCTGATGAGAGCCAGGGGCCATGTTGCAAGCTCCTATATGGAAACACAAATGTGGCAAGGAACTGAGGAAGGCCTCCAGTCGGTAGACAGTGAAGACTTGAGCCCTTCAATCCCATATCCTGCAGGGAACTGGCTCCTGCCAACACCCACGTGAGTGAGCTTGGAAGTGGATCCTCCCCCACTTGAGCCATCGGATGGAATTGCAGCCCTGGTGGCAGAATGACAGCAGTCTCATGAGAGACTTTGAGCCAGACTATGTATAGCTGGGTAATATTCAGATATTGGACCCAAAGAAATTCTGAGATCGTAAATGTTTGTTGTTTTAAGCCGCCAAGGGTTGGGGTAGTTTGTTATGTAGCAACAGATAATTAATACATGTAAGTTTACAAAAATTGGATTGGGGCACCTAGGTGGCTCAGTTGATTAAGCATCTGATTCTTGCTTTTGGCTCAGGTCATGATCTCATAGTTTGAGAGTTTGAGCCCCACATTAGGCTCTCTGCTGCCAACACAGAGTCTGCTTCGGATCCTCTGCCACCCCCTCCCTCTGCTCCTCTCCCACATATGTGTGTGCGAGTGTGCACACATGTTCTCTCTCTCTCCTTCTCTCTCTCTCAAAAATAAGCAGGAAAAAAATTGGATCACATTGTCTTTCATCAGCCAGAGTTTTATCAGCAAAAAGAGGGCACCCAATTGGGATTTTTGAGCAGAACTGTGCACCATGTTAAGAATATCAGTTAGGTGTGAAAGAAGCAGCCAGGGCTTATAACATTATGAAAAATCCATTATCATCCATAGACCTGAAGAAGGAAGGGAAGGAAACTGTGTTAGAAGAGGCCAAAAAAAGGGGAGCCACAGAGGGAAAGTTGTCTTACAGGAGATTTGTCCAGGGACACACCACCTGTCAGAGTTGGGTCAAGGCAGGGAGCAAGCAGAGAAGAAATACCCTGGCATCGTTCTTTTGCCATCCTCAGATTGCCCATGACTGTTACTGGCCAAACCCAGCTGGAAACCACAGGGCAGTTCCTAGGGGTCAGCGCCCTAGGACAGAAGACAAGGCAGAGAAGGCAGAGAATAGATCTGCTGAGGCATAAAGAGAAAAACCAGCGTATGCCCATGGTCTGGGGCAATTATTTTTATGTTTATCATCTTTCTGTATCATTAACAATTCATCTCCATTATGGTTTTATTTAAATTTTTTTTCTTTTTAATGTTTATTTATTTTTGAGAGAGAGAGAGACAGAGCACAAGCAGGGGAGGAGCACAGAGTGAGGGAGACACAGAATCCAAAGCAGGCTCCAGGCTCTGAGCTGTCAGCACAGAGCCTGACATGGGGCTTGAACTCACAAACTATGAGATCATGACCTGAGCTGAACTCAGACGCCCAACCCACTGAGCCACCCTGGTGCCCCTACGTCATGCTTTTAAATAGCTACACATGGGACCTATTACAAATTATCTCAGCCACATACGGATGAACATTTTTAGATGTATAAAAAAATTCTCCTTTTGCTATGGTAAGCAGCGAAGTGAATATATATCCTTATAGTTCTATTTCCATGGATTAAAAAAAAAGTTCCTTCGAGCACAATGCAAGAAGTAGAAATAATTAAGGACAAAGAACATTTTTAAAAGGATTTTGATACATCTTGCCATATTACTCACCAGAAAATCTACTATACTCTCCCTCTGGGGAAAAAATCTTTGCCTATTTGATAAGATTTTAAAAATAGGCTTTATTGGGCAGTCTGGTTGTTTTAGTAGGTAGAACATGTGACTCTTGATCTCAGGGTTGTAAGTTCAAGCCCCACGTTGGCTGTAAAGACTACTTAAAAAAAAATCTTGGGGCACCTGGGTGGCTCAGTCGACTAAACTTCGAATTCTTGATTTTGGCTCAGGTCATGATCTCATGGTTCATGGGATCGAGCCCTGAGTCAGGCTCTGCGCTGATGGCATGGAGCCTGCTTGGGAGTCTCTCTCCCTCTCTCTCTCTCCTCCTCCCATGCTTTTGCTCTCTCTCTCTCTCTCTCTCAAAATAAATAAATAAACATTAAAAGAATAAAATAAATCTTTACCCGAAAAATGCTTTATTGTTTTTTAATTTTCATTTTGGTACTACCAGTAAATTTAAAATACTTTCCACATGTTCATTAGCCACTTGTATTTCTTCCTTTATGAACTTTGCCCATTTTTTCCATTTGTATTAGTCTTTCTCTTATTGATTTATAGGAGGTATTTAATGTTAAGGATTCATTGTTGTCATATATACTGTAAATATTTTCCTTAGTATAAAAAAAAGTCATGCAGAGAACCTGTTTCTTTACCTAAATAATATTAAATATTAAATATTTAATTTAATAATATTAAAGTGTTTACCTTTTTAAAACATATCTCAATAGTTTAATTATGTCAAGTAAAAGTTTTAAGCCATTTGGAACAGTATTTGGAGGTAAAGCATGAAGCAAAGATGAAAAATTATTTTCTTCTAAATGCGTGCTTGACTGTCCCCGCACCGTTTATTGAGAGGACCATCTTTTTTTTTTTCTCACTGATTTGAAATGGAAAGACAAAGCCACATGGCAAGTATACTCTTTTTTTTTTTCAATATATGAAATTTATTGTCAAGTCGGTTTCCATACAACACCCAGTAGTATACTCTTGATTCTACTGCTTAAAGGAAAACAGGCTTTTAAAATGAGCCTTTTTGCATTTTTCATTGGACTTCCTTTCCATTACATATATTTGCTATCCTTTGCAGATGTGTTAAAATACCTCCATGGATACTTTTACTGAACGTGATTCTATGACCTCATTTAAAAAAAAATTTTTTTTTTAATGTTTATTTATTTTTGAGACAGAGAGACAGAGCATGAACGGGGGAGGGTCAGAGAGAGGGAGACACAGAACCTGAAACAGGCTCCAGGCTCTGAGCTGTGAGCACAGAGCTCGACGCGGGGCTCGAACTCACGGACCGCAAGATCATGAGCTGAGCTGAAGTCGGCCGCTTAACCGACTGAGCCACCCAGGTGCCCCTGACCTCATTTTTTAATAAAGATCCGCAACAGTGGCCTGGAGATTGGGCCTAGTGCTGCCTGAACATTATGTCCTTCGTCTCCCAAGTTAGGCCTAATGTGTTTTTTGAGGTATGTTTTTTGACTTACTGCAAATTCTTATAAATGCTATTGAGATTTGAGAACTTGTTTAAAAGTAAACTTGTCTTATGGTGGTAGATTTAATTAAAGAAGACAGTGTTATCATGTAATTTCTCATGCTTAATGCAAATCAGCGCTTACCTAATTTCCAGTGTCTCTTCACATTGAAGATTTGAGGACATATCATATCTGCAGGGTGGTGACAATGATGATGCATTGAAATACTCCATTTAAAAGGTATGTTCAAGGGGTGACAGATCTTTCTTTCTTTTTTTTAAATTTAATTTTAAAGAGAGAGCACCCATGTGCTTGCATGTGAGCAGGTAGGGGCAGAAGGAGAGGGAGAATAATTTCAAGTGGGCTCCATGCCCAGTGCAGGGCCCATGACCCTGGGATCATGACCCAAGATAAAATCAAGGGTCAGATGTTCTATCAACTGAGCTACCTGGGCACTCTGGTGACATATTTTTCTGCTAGCATTTTATGAAAAGGAGGTCCCGGGTCATGTTGTAAGATCCGTGTCTCCAAGAGGGCTTCTAGTGGCATCATGAAATACTTGGCGAAGCTTTTACCTTTGTACAAAAGGAGAGAATGTCACATTTCTTCTTGATTCTAGAAGGCATCCAATGCATTGTATTACCTTCCAAGTTACCAGAAAGTGGCATCAACATAATTTCTTCCTACATAGTTGAAGACAGTCATCACATTGAAGAGGAAAAGAGTTTCTCCTTAATTTTAAAACCAAAGAAGTACTGTCTCAAAATTAAGATCAACAGTCTGGGTTAAATTCTTTCTTAGGGGAAGAGTTGCATCTAAGACTTCCAAAATCATTAGTAACTGGAAAGAACATCTGTTTTCTCTTAGGGAGGTACGATAGCGTGTATCACAAAGTGCATGTGCACCTCAATAATTTATCAATCTCTCATTCATAACATTCAGACTCTATAACATCAATGGGAAAATACTGAATAAATTTAATTTTTTCTACAAGCCAGGCAGTGGACTCAGTCCTTTCCATGAATCTATTATTAAAAAATCTCCAACCAGGTAGACAAATATGTTCTTTTAGTCAATGTTATTGAGGTATAACCTACATACAGTAAAACGCATCCATTTAACTCATGTAATTAAAAACAATAAATTGTGCAATTCAATACATTTTTGTAAATGTATTCCATATATAAAACATATACCCAAGCAGTGGCCACCACAATAATGATACAGAATATCTCTTTCAACAAAAAGTACTCTTTGGTGTCTCCTTTGGAACCCGTTCCTTGCCTCCACTCCAGGGCCTTGAAACCTCTAGTCTGTTTTGTTGCTATAATTTTATCTCTTCTGGAATTTCATATAAGTGTGATGGACACATGTTTTCATTTCTCTTGTGTAAATACCTAAGAGGCACATTGGAAAGCTAGGGGGTGGGGGATAAAAAGCACTTGGGGAGGTAGAAAATTATAGGTGGAAATTAAAAAAAAAAATGGGAAGAGAGAGAAAGGATCTCCTCAGGACCTCAGACTGGCCTCACAGAAGCCACTCTTTCCTGGAGTCATGCAACAGGTCCTGGGTGGGTTACTGCTGCCGTGCAGGTCAGGGGACCATCAACCTTCTCGGGCTGTTTGCAGGCATTTGCTGCCATCGGAGATTACAATGAACATATCAGTCTGGATGTTAACTGCTCTAAGGAGGTAGCCACTGCCATCCATGGGGCCATCATCCTGGCCATGTTTTCTGTTGTCCCCGTGTGGCGAGGCTCCTGGGGGAACAAGACTGGCAAGCCCCACACTGTCCCATGCAAGGTGACCGGCCGCTGTGGCTCTGTGCTAGTTCCCCTCATCCTCATCCCCAGAGGCCCTGGCATTACCTCAGCCCCTATGCCCAAGAAGCTGATGCTGATGGCTGGCATTGAAGACTGCTACACCTCAGCCAGGAGCTGCATTGCCACGCTGGGCAACTTCACCGTGGTCACTTTTGGTGCCATTCCCAAGACCTACATCTATCTCCCTCCCACCTCTGGAAAGAGACTGAGTTCAACAAGTCTCTCTATCAGGAATCCACCGACCGTCTTGTAAAGATCCACACCCCGGTCTCCACGCAGGGGTACGGCCACCACCTAGTTTTATACAAGAAAAATGAAGTGAATTAGAGCTTGTGGGGAAAAAAAATGCAACAAAAACATATACAAAACAATAAGAGGGGCATTGGTTTCTGTAGTGGTCGTACCATATTACATTCCTAGCATGTATGAGATGCTCTTCATTCTTGCCACAATACTTGGCCTTTTGGGGCTTTCTGATTGTTGTCACTGTAGTGAGTAGGTCTCTGGATCTCAGTAGAATCTTCACTTTCATGTCTCTGATGCGGTATTCAGCTTCCATCGTGACACTCCATGATTCTCACCTGCTGGTATTCATTCATGTCTCTGTTTAGTACAATCCCATAAAAAGTAGGGATGGCCTGTGGTAACAAATAGCTATTGCAGGGGCATCTGGGTGGCTCAGTCGGTTAAGTGTCTGACTTCAGCTCAGGTCGTGATCTTGCAGTTTGTGAGTTCGAGCCCTGCTTTGTTCTCTGTGCTGACAGCTTGAGCTTGGAGCCTGCTTTGGTTTCTGTGTCTCCCACTCTCTGCCTCTCTCTCTCTCTCAAAAATAAACATTAAAACACACAGACACATACACACACACAAATAGGCTATTGCAGGTATGACCACTGAGTGACTTCTCTGATCATGGAAAACATTTTAGTTTCTTTGTTGTTCTCCCTTAGATCACTCACTCTGGGGAAAACCAGCTGCATATTATCACGACACTCAAGCAACCCTATGGAGAAGTTTGTGTCACAAGGAACTGGGCCACTTGCCAAAAGCTGGCACTAATTTGCCAGTCATGGGAGTGAGCCATTTTGTAAGTGGATCCTCCAGTTCCAGTCAAAGCTTCAGCTATATCCCCAGCTGATAACTTGACTGTAGACCCATGAGGGACACCCTAAGACCAAACCCCTCAGCTGAGGCATTCTTGGATACCTGTCCTACAGAAATTGCGTGAGGTAAAAAAGGTTTACTGTTCTAAGTTTTGGGATAGTTTGTTACTCACCAATAGACAACCAGTACAGATTTTGGTACCTAAAAAAAAATTTTTTTAGACGTTTATTTATTATTAAGAGACAGAGACAGAACATGAGTATGGGAGGGGCAGAGGGAGGAGGAGACACAGAATCTGAAGCAGGCTCCAGGCTCTGAGCTGCCAGCACAGAGCCTGACACGGGAATCGCACTTGTGAACCTCCAGATCATGACGTGAGCTGAAGTCAGAAGCTTAACCGATTGAGCCACCCAGGCGCCCCTTTAAAAAAAAAATTTTTTTTTTAAATGAGGTTTTGGTACTTAAAAATGGGCTGCTGCTGTATCAAACATTCAAACTCTAGGAGTGGCTTTGTCACCAGGCAGTAGATTAAAAAATGGAAGGACTTTGGGGCGCCTGGGTGGCGCAGTCGGTTGAGCGTCCGACTTCAGCCAGGTCACGATCTCGCGTTCCGTGAGTTCGAGCCCCGCGTCGGGCTCTGGGCTGATGGCTCAGAGCCTAGAGCCTGTTTCCGATTCTGTGTCTCCCTCTCTCTCTGCCCCTCGCCCGTTCATGCTCTGTCTCTCTGTCCCAAAAATAAATAAACGTTGAAAAAAAATTTTTTTTTTTAAATAAAAAAAAAAAAATGGAAGGACTTTGAGGACAGCATTAGTGGAAGCCTACTGATCAAACCTTGATGGCCTTGGAGGAGTCTGCCAGCAAGGGCTTATGGGTAAATGTGGTTGGCATAATTCTAAGATGGTTCTAAACACTCCTGCCCTGTTAATTCATACGTTTTGTACAATCACATCCCTTGAGTGTGATTAGAACCTGCTAGCGTGATGAAATATAACTTCCGTGATTATGTTGCAAAAAAAGATTTTGCATATGTAATTAAGGTCCCTAAGCATTTGAATTAATCAAAAGAGAGATTATGGAGGGCAGGGGTGGGTAGGGCTGACCTCATCGTATAAGCCCTTAAACAACAGCATAAGAGGACCTCCTGCTGGCCCCGGGCGGGGACGGGGGGTAGGGGGGGCCCCCCCCACGGGGGGGGCGAGGGGTAGTGAACCAGCATATTTTGAGATGGCCTATGGATTGTGACATGTGGCAAACAGGAGAGGACCAATGTTCTGCAGGCAGCATAGGGAAAGGTATTGGTAGAGGGAACAACACGGGTAAGATGGGAGAGCTTGAAAGTGTATAGTCTGTGAGTAGCCTAGCCGGTGGGAAGAGTGACAGAAGACACCATCTGGGAGGTGAGTACCATGATAAGGAGCTGGACTATTTCACATGCGCAGCAAAAGAGAGTAATTTAAATCAGGAAAGTGATGTAACCATCATCTTTAGAGAATACTTCCCGTGCACCAAGAACTAAGTTGAAAACGTGCATGCGTTACCTCACTGAATCTGTAATAGTACCAAAAGAAGTTACTCTCAGTATCCCAAGTTCACAAGGGAGGAAACTCCATCTTGGAGAAGTTATGCGCAAACCTAGTAGGCAAAGCTTGGAATTTGAAACCTTAAAGGTATGCTGGGTAATTATTTCTAGATCACACATCTAGATGAGAATAAAGAATGGTATGAACATCGATTAAAGAAAGGCAGACGAGGAGCCTGCTAAGGCTACTGCAAAGGTTTTGAGGGGAGATGCGCACTAAGAAAAATTTCAAGCCTGGCTCTGCTATGTTCCCTGTAGCTTTTGGTTGGGACTTCTGGATGTGCGCACTCGTACCACAGCGAACAGGATGAGCAATTCTGCGAATAGATAATTTAAAAAGTAAATACTATTAGATGCAGTAACTGTAAGAGGTGGAGGATGCTAATTTTTACCTGGAGTAAGGAACCTTTTAAAGCCTTTTTCTGTATCTTTAATAATCGTCTGATATTGAGTCTGTTTTATACAAATTCAGACAAAATTGGTTCAAACTGAGCTAAGTGAAAAATTAAAAAGAACTGGAAACTAAAAGCCTCGTCCCTTAAGCTAGTGCCGCCCCTTCATTGCCCCGCCTTCCACCAAGCCGCGCCTCTTTGGGGCTAACACTAGCTTTCCCCAGCCTTCACCCGGCGACTCTCAGTTCCAGGATCCCGCCCAGCTTCATTTGCTCGCGAGAGTTTCTTCATCTAGCCGAATCACAAGGCTGCTGCAGGAAACGGAAGCAGAGAAGAGTCGCGAGACTTGGCTAGACCGCATGCCTCCCCAGACCCCTCCCCTCCCTCCAGGCGCACCTTCTGGCCCAGCTTTCTCGGTTGCACGTGTAGTTGTTTTGGCTCAATCTCACGTGGCCGCGGAAGTGCCGGCGCTGCAAGTCCGCCCCCAAGATGGCGGCACCCAATGAATGGGGTCGCGATCCGCTTCTGCTCAGTCTCGAAGTATAGCCTTTGCGGTGTCTGCGGGGCCATGGAGCGGCCTGGGTTCATGGCTTCGCTGGTGGTGAGTGCTGGACGGTAGGGTGGGGCTCTCGGGGTGCCAGAGTCGCGCAGTGGAGCCCGTAGTAGTTTTTGTCCCCTGGCACTTCCGGTTTCGCGCGTTGACCCGTCTTCAGGTCAGTGGTCATCTGGCAGGTCCCGGAGGGAACGCCGGTTTCCTGGGCCACCGCCGGGCCTCGTGTCAAGGCTGTGCCTTTCCTACCTGGAAAACAGAAGGACACGGGGGTGGGGTGCTTGACAGTTTTCCTCAAAATGGAAAGAAAAAAAAAAAGTTGAAATTATATAGTGTGACCACATTCTGGAGAACTTGGGAATTAAGTATATGTAACAACAATTCGCCCCCCCCCCCCCGCCAAAAAAAAATACCCACAAGGAAACAAAAACGCTTGCATCGCTCAGATTCTTCTTGTCCAGGACTATGTTTTTTATTTAGTTGTATTTGTTTTCACTCTCATAAAATGACCTGTTCATTCAATATGTAATTAATCTGTTTATTTAAAGTGTTCTTGTAGGCTTTGGGTATATTGATAAGTGTAAATAATTACGGAGCCAATAAGATAGTAGTGTGTAGAAACCTACCAGAATTAACAGGTTTGAACATCAAAAACAACCCAAGAACCAAAACGTCTGTAATATTTTGAAGTCTCTGTTACGGCAGGTCCAGTAGGGATACCGGATACAGCAGTGAACAAGACAGATTGGCTGCTTGTGTGTGTTTTCATTGTGGAAGAGTAGGAAGAAACAGTAAAAAACAAAAAACAAACACAAAACACAACCTTTGAAAAAGCTTCCACTGGGGTAATGGAGGCTCAGTAGAATTTCATTTAATTATTGTTTGTTGTTGCAGGTGTTAGGGATAATATGGTGAACAAGACAGACCTCACGTGGGTCAGGTGGTGGAGACAGAATAGTAAAATGACTGTTAGGAAAAACGGCAATGATCTGAGGGCTGGTTTCATAGGGTTATGGAGGATGTGCAAGGGAGTGCCTTAGCCTCACTTGTGGGATCATGTTTTAAATCTAAGTCTATTGAGACTTGTGTAAACTAGGTTTTAAGGATACAAAGAAATACACCATTTTGAAGTTTTCCACTCTAGTGAGATAAAAGTAGTAGCTTTGACAATTAAGATTCCTTTGCTGGGAACTGGGGTAAGCTCTTTACATACATTGATTTTTCAAGTTCTGACAATCAGTTAAGTCTTTTTTATTTATTTTTATTTTTAAAAATTATTTTTAATTTTATTTTTTTTAATTTACACCCAAATTAGCATATAGTGCAACATTGATTTCAGGAGTAGATTCCTTAATGCCCCTTACCCATTTAGCCCATCCCCCTCCCACACCCCCTCCAGTAACCCTTAGTTTGTTCTCCATATTTATGAGTCTCTTATGTTTTGTCCCCCTCCCTGTTTTTATATTATTTTTGTTTCCCTTCCCTTATGTTCATCTGTTTTGTCTCTTAAAGTCCTCATAGGAGTGAAGTCATATGATATTTGTCTTTCTCTGAGTGACTAATTTCAGTTAGCATAATACTCTCCAGTCCCATCCACTTAGTTGCAAATGGCAAGGTTTCATTCTTTTTGA